TTTCCCTGCAGTGGGAACCAAAGCAGCTGACATCATTCTCCTCTCCCCTGTATGATCCGCACAACTACCCTATGAGGTATGTTGAGGTTGAAAGTGTGTGAGTGGTCCAGAATCCCCCAGGCAGCTTTTAAAACATGAACCTGGGACCTGCACACCATCCTCTGAAGCGCTCTCAGTGGCAGTAATGGGGTGACTGCTGGCACCTTTTCCTATCATTTTTTGCCTTGTGGTATTCTGCTTGTGGTGTGATCTGTCTTCTTTGTGATGTGGCATGATTGTGTTATTGGGTTTGTTTCTTTTGAAGGGGAAGTGATGTGTTGTGAGTGAGGACATATTTTACCTCAGAATACAGTAGGTTCCATATGCAACTGACAGTTTCAACTGCCTTGTGGGGTGTGGATTGGAGTGAAGTCCAATCAGCTTCCATATGCAAAAGACCTTGAAACGCTGGGCGGGACTGCACAAAGCAGCCAGTCAACCCAGCCAGCGTCTTCTGACTGACAGTTCTTGCGGCCAAACACTAAAGGTGTGCATTTCGGAATGTTGGAGCCCACTATGGCTTTATATATAAGGGAGAGATGTCTGTCTCAGGTATCTGACCGACATGTCTTCACACAACCAGTCAATGGCTGCCTATTCAACCTGTATTCCCCAGCCCACCCCAAGCCAGCACAATCTGAAGCAAACCTAAAATCTAATCCTCTGTCTGGTATAAAGTAAAATACAAAAGAAGCTCTTGGAATTCACGTGTTTCCTAAATAAGGAGCACTGCACGAAACAGACAGGAAGCTACAGATGAGCTTATACTAAAAGCCAAGATCACTCCTTTGAACAGAAACAACTAGTTTTCATGTAGATACTTTAAATAGGTATCAAGTTCTGCTCTGCACAACTTCTTCAAGGCAGAGGCAACAACACACATCATTCAAGAGCTACAAACAGAAATTCTTCCACAAGGAAAACAAATCATTTTCTGCAGTCCAAAGGTGGTTGGAGAACAGCTTTACACTTCACGGTGCGCGCGTGCACACACACTAGTTTCTGCTCCCATCTCCTCCAGTCAAATTTACGTTTTCTTTAAAAAGGCAAACATCCGCAATAGCTTCTTTTTTTGCAGGGGGGTGGGGAGTCCCCTCACAACATACAGCAACCCTTTCCCCAAAACATCTCCAGCTTTTTGATAAGAACATCTATCTCGAGCCTAAACCTGAGCCCCAGAATATAAAAAGCTCATATCGCAAGACTGCTGACTTAAAACCCTTTGCTATATCCCAATATCTTTATGAAACAGATACATGGAAAAACGAAGCTGGGTCACACTTGCCAGCCAAAGCGATGAAGTCTTGTGAGCAAAAAATTCTACCTTGTGAGCTCCTGGCATTAAAGTTGTGAGCGAGCGATTGGGCTGCTGCATAAACCAGTTTGCGCTGGGGCCGTCCCTCCCGAGCTAAAGCAAAAATATGTGAGCCGGAGGCTAAAAAAACCTGTGAGCCAGCGCGCACGAACGCAGCTTAGAGGGAACACGCTGCTTGCCAGGCCGCCCCTAATCACGGCCGACTCTCGAAGACGGCGATTATTCACTCTGGGAACCGGGGCTTAGTGCCGTCTTGCTTACTTCCCCCACGAACCTTTTTAGCCCCTCATCTCTCCCTTTGCGAGGACTGGGGCTCTCCTCCCTCCCTCCCTCGCCTGTACCTAACTTCACCCAGCGGAGGTCGGACCCTCCAGCTCTCACAACCTGGGCCAAATTTCCCAGCTTAACGCCTCCATGCGTTTAAACGGGGATTCCTTCGGGACGTAAACCCCGTTCCCTTCAAAGAAGTCCAGTTTACTGCGAATTTTTTTCAAACTACCTAAAGTCCGCCCGTACCCATTGGTCGCTTCAGCCAGAGGCCGCCGGTACAGCCTCCCCCTGCGCCTTCTTTCGCCTTCTCCCTCTCGGCGACTACAGTTCCCAGCATGCAGAGCGGGCCTCAGACGGCCGGGCCCCCCTTTCCTTTCGCACTCTCAAGTGTTGTCGACCGGAAAAGACTCGTTGCACCACGGGAAATGAAGTTTTAGCGAGTCCGACGCTTAAAGGAGGGGATGTGCTGCTCGCTTCAGCTGCTTGGGAATGCTTTGCTCTCGGCCAAACGAGACCTGGATTTCTTATTCTTTGCAGAGTTCTTCTTTCCAGGTGATGGGTTGAGAGCTTCCAGGTGATAAATAACAGGTGTGGTTGCCCGGCTTAAAAGGCTACTTCCGGAATATTTATTTTTTTAAACTTCTTTAATAAAGTGTTTAAGAAACCATTGCCTTATTTCAGGATCTTTCACATCTCTGCAAATCGAAATACAGATCCTGCAGCTCCGAAATTTTAAAACAGTATATTATTTTGGGACGTGCAGGTGTGCTCTCCATTATTCCCTATGGGCAATCATGCATTCTCTGTTGGCGATCATGTATTGTGGGCAATTGCTGTCCTTAGTTTTAGCATGTCCCGTTTTTGGTTCTTTTTCGAAATGTTTTCCCCTCCCCCCTCCCTAATTATGGAGACCATTATGTGTTGACATGTTTATTTAAAATATTCTAACCATGTGGCTCAAGTGGTTAAGACGTTGAGCTGCAGACCGGAAGGTCGATAGTTCAGCAATTCGAGACCCCAGTGCCTCATGGCGGAGTGAGCTCCCATCTCTGGCCCCAGCTCCCACTAACCTAGCAGTTTGAAAGCAAGAAACTGAAAGTAGATACATAGGTGGGAAGGTAACAGCGTTCCCTGCGCCTTGGCATTTAGTCATGCCGGCCACATGACCACGGAAACGTCTTTGGACAGCGCTGGCTCTTCGGCTTGGAAATGGAGATGAGCACTGCATCCCTAGAGTAGAATTCAGCTGGCTTCCGAGCAAGGGAAGCCTTTACTTAAACATGTTTCAGGATATTGCTGCCAATATGGTTAAAAAATAAGAAAACACAATAGCACTGAAGTTTTATGACTCCTCCCCCCAACCCAACAAGTATTTGTGTATGTGTTTTTTTAAGTTACACTATATACCATGAACTGCAGGCTGTGGAAGGTCAGTAGTTCAGCAGTTCAAGACCCGGGTTGCCGCATGATGGAGTGAGCTCCCGTCTCTAGTTCCAGCTCCTGCCAACCTAGCAGTTTGAAAGCAAGAAATTGCAAGTAGATAAATAGGTACCACTTCGGTGGGAAGGTAACAGCATTCCATGCACCTTGGTGTTTAGTCATGCCGGCCACATGACCACGGAAACGTCTTCGGACAGCGCTGGCTCTTTGGCTTTGAAACGGAGATGAGCACCGCAACCCTAGAGTCGGACTCAACTGGCTTTCAAGCAAGGGAAACTTTACCTTTATATACCATTAAGGGGTTCGCCGTGGCTCAGAGGTTAAGATGCTGAGCTCAGCAGTTCGAGACCCGAGTGCCGCCAGACAGAGTGAACTCCCATCTCTGGCCCCAGCTCCGAGCTCCCCAACCCCCATGGCAGAGTAGCTGACATACTGCCCTCTCTAAAATCAGCTTCTCCCGACCATTCCAGGAGGTCTCCTGGTTTGTCCGGGAAGTCGCGATGGAACTGTTGCAACAGTCTAGGGACCCAAATATCCCCTACTTCCACCCATTCAAAGTGCTGGGGTCCGAAATCCACCCACTCAACCAAATACATCAACTTTCCCTGTTTGATCTTAGAGTCCAGAATATTAGAGATCTCATAATGCTCCTCGCCCTCAATCATGATAGGAGGGGGCACCAGTTTCGATGGACCCCAGGGGCTGGAACCCGAAGGAGGCTGAAATGAAATACAGAATGCAATTTTCTCAATTTTTTTGGCAAGTCCAAATCTACAGCAACATCATTGATGATCCTTTTAACCTTAAACGGCCCAATGTATTTCCAACCCAACTTCCGACTTGGCCGTAACATCTTGATATTTTTAGTAGAAACATACAC